ATTATTATTATTATTATTATTATTATTATTATTAAAATAAGAACTGACGACTTAGAAAAAAAAAATGTTATAAATAACCAAAACGATGTAAGATTGAAAAATAATCTTTCAAAAAAAATTTTTTCTTACAATTATTTCTCAGAGAACTAACTTGGCCGCGATTTTAAATAATAAGCAATTCTGGAATAAAACTTACACCTCCATCTGGTAGCTGCCGGCTGCATACTCTTGATTACTTCTGTTAAACGTTTTTCGAAATATTGTAAATCTGCAAAAAAAAAGAAAAAAAACAGAAAATGAATTAGTAGATAAATGTAAAAAAAACTAGACTAACTCCAAGAAAAATTATGTATAAGGATTACCGAAAACTTTACTATGCATTAGTTCCCGATTGCTGAAATAAATGAATAAACAGTTCAATTTTGACCAATTAACTGAACTACGAATCTGTCATTAATTTATTTCTTAGGCTACATAAAAGTAAGTAACGTAATGCTCTCTAGTTTCCACAACAGACAAACACTTAAGACAGACTGCGGGATTCTAGAAAGTAGCATAAAACAGAAGCAAAAAGAAACGTTTTTAAAACACTTTTTAATGAGTAACATCCTCTTTTTTGTGTTTTAAAATAAAGCAGAGAGAAAGGATATCACGAAATGATAATACCATTGACATCTATACAGCAAATACGACCAGAAGTATTCGTGATACTAAACTATGTTTAAAACTACCAAAATGCAGCAAAAATTAATTATTTACCTTCACAAGCAGAAGAAGTTTCGTCCATTGTACAGATAAGAAAGGCTAACAATTCTTGTTAATCTTGGATCCTGCAGTTACACAACTGATAAGACAATGAAACTTCACACTAATGGATGCTTAGAAAATTGGAACAATGTGTAATAGTCGAAGATACTGCAACAGGAGTTTCTGAATTCCAAACAATGTTTCGAGTTCCTTTTTGACCTGTAAAATCAAAAAAAATAATTCAGTGATTTCATTCGCACATAAGTTTTTTTTTTCCTTTTTTTTCTTTACCTGTAAGTAGCAAAAAGCATTCTTAGAAACGATGAATCACAATGGCCGAATTACACCCAGTTGAAACACCAATATTCCATTGCGTTGTCTTCGTTTATAAGGAAATTGATTATATCATGCAAAACGAGAAGCACTTCGAACAAAATTTTCGAGCGAAAAGAAAAAACAAAAAATTAAACATCAAATTGTTTCAGCCACGAAATTTTTCTCTATAACAATGCTATACGTAAGAAACAAATATAGGGAGATCTAGATAAAATTTCCATTCTTTCTGCTCTTCCTTCCCCGTCCTCTCCATATAACCGCATCAAACAGCAATATACCACGCGACGACGGCTTTGTAAACGAAAAAAAATAACTATTTGTAAAAGCTTATGCAGCGAACTTAGCAATGAAAAAAAGTAAACAAAAACCTTTTAATCTTCTGCCTGTAGTCAACAGTTTGTTTGCCGCTGATGCCTTTCTGTGAACTTAACAGAAAAATAAAGACAGCAAAAAAAAAACTGTACACGATTTAGAAGATAAACCTTCTCTTCATTGCCTTGCCGTAGAACACAGGACATCCAAATCAAACAAAAAGAAAGGACCAGATTATCAAGTGCCCGAAACAAAGTGGAGTGGTGTACCCGAGGCTCATAATTAGAGTCAAAGCGGCAAACCTGTTTGTTGCCAATTTATTGGTCAATTTATTATCAATAAATGATCACCACAATTTCTGCAGAACCTGTCACTGTTAATCAACGAACATCAAATAGCCAAATCATTGAAGTGAAAACCCGGCTAGAAAGTTCAAACACTTGGTGACCGACTAAATGACTAACTAGCTGACTGAATGATTGACTGACACAAACCTTCTTCAACTATTCTGGCCGCCCAGAAGGCGATAGCCACTTTAGCAAAAAAAAACACTCCGTTCTTCCGCCTTATATTAACATCAATACATTAAATGTCAGCAGCAACAATAGCAACACAGAAAATCATATATTGCATATATACATACACATCAGAATGTTAGGTAACTGTTAGGTCAGAATAATTACTGAACACTTTACAATGAATACGTTGATTCTTTCCAGTTGTTAGTGTGGTCAACAGAAAAAAAAAGCTTAACCGATTGTTCAGTTAGAAATATTTTACTTTATTCTTTCTCTGTCTTTTCCCTTGTTTTGAAACATTTCATACCATATTCAACATAAACAAAGATCAACAATGCTCAGAAAATGATCAAGTTACCAAAAATACAGAAAAGAGTCGAATCAAATTTTCTAGCACAGAACATTCATGTTTTAAACATTATCATCAAGCGAATAACAGCATGAATACAAAAAAAAAACAAAACTAAGAAATCAAAATAAAACGAAACAAAGCCAGTAACAACACCTTAATTCTAAGCATTTTTCAGTGACAAATACGCGGCAGCCTTTTGCAACTCTTTTTTTGGTTCATAATCAATTATGAAAAAAATAAAATTAAGTCGATCAATCAAAAAACCCCTCTCACAAAAAAATGAAAAATGAAAAAAAACAAAAAAAAAAAAAAGACAGAAAAAAAGCAAAATTACACGAGCAAATCTATAAGTACAATCAGCGCTAACAACACAAGTACGACGTCTTATGAATACTGACCAGCCATAAATTTAAATATTTCAGAATCTCTTGTAATAATGATATGTAAGTTAAAAATTTTATGACTGAGAATTCACTCACCACTTACTGCTCCCCCCTAAACAAAAACAACAAACTGTAACAGATGAAGATCACAGAAATCAATGAAATAAGATAAAGTAAATCATCTTCTACAATATGTCAACATACCCGTCACCAATATTATGACGAATCAAAAGTGTATATTAATTAGTTAAAATGTAACAACACTTTCAAACAAATATACAAACTTGAAGTTAAGTTGTTTTCAAATTTCAAATTCTCTAGACTAATGGTGAAAGACTGAAGAAAAATAGAATCATAATATGACCCTGCCGTACACAATCCAGACATACAAATATCGATAACACTAACCTAAAACAAATTTTGAATAGTCATACAGCCACCAGTATAAGCCAAACTATAACTATCCCTAAAAACCCTTCAACGCCCAAATTTTGTTCCACTTTCTTTCCACACGATCCCTAAAATTTAAGAAACTCTTCACAACACTTGACGTCAAAAAAATTCTGTTCCTGAAAAAAGCCAAACAAAAGATGCATGTACACGAAACAGTTCCTTATTCAAAAGCATGAAGAACTGCTTTGAATCACGATAGGATTTCACATAAACATTAAGCTCCTCTGTAGTTAATGAGAGAATAAATAAAAAAGCAAAAAAAACAAAAAAATCCTAATTTAGTATAAAACGATATTTTTAAGCTATGCGTTAATCTTAGAATCAGAAGTAAATGTCGCAAATACGAGACATAACGTATTAGAAAATTCTAAACTCACTACAGAAATAAAATTTTTAAATTATGAGACTAATAAGACAAAAAATGTGACCTCTCAAACAATATACTAACACGCTGATATATGATAGTTTTGGTTAGTCGACAAAACCTAATTTTGCTATAGCATTTATACCCTCAGAGAATTTTAAAATGCACGAAAAGATACTCTGTAGTAGACCAGAAATTCTTGAAGGTGAGAAAAAATACATCCTAAAGTGCCTGATCGATCACCGGTTTGTTATTAGTTTCAAATCATCAACGTCATCCGAATCAGAAAACTCATCGTCCTGTGGTAGCATTTTGAAGCCCTCTTCCCAAGGTCGTCCAGCAGCAACGCCACGGCGATAGCACTTCCGAAACAGATAGTACTAAATTATGACGTGTTAGAGCCGAAAACCACTTTGTAAAAATCTTTGGTATAAGTAGCGTGAGCAATGATCTAATTTTAGTATGAAATAAAAAGAAATAAAATTTAAACGTGTTTGAAATAAATATTAACATACAAACATTAACAGACTGACTAAAACCAAGAAGTGCAGCTGACCGTGACATAAACTTCAAAATGGAAGTGAAACTACCCCTATGTTTCGTTAAAACTTTTTCTTGCAAAAATTTTTACAATTTTTCCGTCAAAATATATATAAATTAATATCATTTCCTAAACTTCCCAATAGAAAAAAAGCTTACTGATGGAATTAGAAGAACGAGGAATGCCAGTAAAGCAACTTTAAAGTTGCCTTCAACAAAAAATGCTCCTATCCTGAATGTCTTCAATAAAACGACATCTTTTACACTTGGCGAGGAGTGAGAAATCTGAAAGGAAAAGAGTCGCTTAACGAAGAACTAGTAACGACGGATAACCATCTACTAATGTTAATCATGTTAAGAGTAGTCGCTAAAAATGTAATATAAGGTTTCTTACCTTTACGTGAAATACTACTGGATGATAATTCTTTTTTCTAATTGTAACTTTATGTGTACCAATAGGAAGGTCCATAAAGTAAAAACCACTGACAACTGTGTTATAGCTTCGCGATATTTTTTCGACAGAAACTGTTACTGGTGGTTCAATCGGCACGCCGTTACAAGACGATATTTTACCCATTACTCCTTGAGTTCGCTAAAAAAATTGGCTTGCTACATTTTAATAAAATTGCTCGACGAAAATTATTCAAAAAAGCTGAAGATCAATAACAGTATTGAGTAAAAAGTCAACTCTACCTGCTCAAGAACTTCGGTAATTGAAGCGCTATTTTCTTTCAAAAGATGACCGGAACCACTTTGTTCGTAGCAACATGCCGCTTGTACAAGCAAAGTGTCGGGAATTTTTGGCTCAGTTTCGCTCCACTGCACAGTATCAAGAGACGGGCGAGGCTCAGCATTACTTGAATTATTAATATTATTATTATTGGAAGCAATTGTTTAGAAAAAATATACAACCCATTAGACAAAAAAGTACTACTGTTGACTGGCAATAAAACTACAATAAAAACAATAAAAGCATTCACCTGCATATTTCTGGGAGTTCAACATTCATAATAGCGTGCTTACTGCTGTAAGCCAAAGCAAGATGCTTAGCAATTTTTTTGCCAGAAACATCAAGGTATCTAACCTTCATACCTCCAGTAGCCAAAAGAATAACATAATCGATTAAAGGAAATTTAGTTACGACCGAGCGGATCATTCCTTCAAACGCAATGATATTTAAATAATCATGACAGTCTGTTTGCGTGTTCGGGATTGCAGGAACGAGTATAAGAGCTGATGAATTTACAATTTTTCCAACAACAGGATTTGACTTTTCCGAGTCACAGTAACTCGTCATCAGCTCATAAAGTAATGTCTCAGTTTTCTGCAAAGTAAAAAAGAAAAAGCCATAAGTTCTTGAAACGCAAGGTTCAACGACGAAGATATTTTCAGTAAATAAGTTGCGATTAACAATGATTACTTTTATAATACTGCATTTTTACAATGTTCGAAGAAATCAGTAGGTTGACAAAAGAAGCATACTTTTTCAATGGCCATCACAAGAGTTGCAGGTCCATTTTTCACGCCCATACGAACGACTTTCAAGCTGCCTATATTAATCTCTTCTCCGCAATGCTCCTTTTCAATGCGTTCCAGACCGGCACTTGTTGCCATAACCATTTCAGATGGAAGGAAATGATCACCTGGATTAGCTGAAGGAACAACAGAAAATTCGGTGACATGATCTCGTGGCGGCGAATAAAAACCGGCTACCGTCTGCAAAAGAAAAAAGAATTACTTTAATTTATTTTTCAACTTCACTTTTAAATTTAAAGACCAGGATATCTAACATAAAACTACCTGCAATATAGCAGCAATAGCCGCCATATATTTGTTTAGTATAAAGTCTGAACAACCTAGTGGTACGTCGAGTACAAACATTTTTTTTTGGCTTATTTTTGCAACTATACTGGATACTTTTTCTTTCGGTAATTCATCAACACAGACTGGTGCATCTTGGCTAAATACCCTGTAAAAATAATCAAACGTCACACACAAACATATCAAAATTTCTGAGCAGCTAAACGCAGTTTTTTATGCAAACGTGTATATCCAACTATTCTTTGTT